GCCCTCATTTCTGACATAGACACTCCATATAGGACTGCAATATGTGCCCCGTTCAACCACTGCAGGCATATATTCCACGCCCCTAGAATTTGCACCCTCCAATGGAAAGAGTTTGTCCCTCCAGACCCCTATGTCCTCGAGGGTCCAAGGTTCTAGGTATATGCACCTTAGCCATTCCTAGCCTTCAAAGAGCATGAAAGGAATGGTAGACCTGTTTTTGTAGTCTATCGCCCTTAGTAAAACAAGGGTTCTGACCGGGATTTAGACCATTCAATTGAAACAATGGTTGTTGAAATCCCAGGGTTGTGAACTGTTCGGGGAGCTGTCAATCGGAGCTGTCTTCATCCACCTTCCCCGCCCTCCCGAGGCGAGTTCGACCGCTTTGGGGTCGATCGTGGCTGGGCCCTGTTTATGGGACGGCGGCTTCCGGGTGTCTGAGAATCTGTTCTTGCAGCGGCTTTGGTGTTTGGGGCGGGAAAGAACGATGCTCTGACTCTGAACCCCCAAAGTGTTCATACGTCCGAACACTGAAAAAACGTTCTCCACCAATCGCAAGTGGCGTGATGTCATGGGCTCATCAGGTATACTTCCCCACCTGCCAGGTGAAGGGTGTCAGTTTTTTATCAGAGCTCGTCTCTTCTCCCGATCGCAGTGTGCAGGACCGGACCTCAACACCCAACCACACAACACACAGAGACCCCAAACACAGAAAGCACACGCACAGCCACAAACATACAACTACGACACACAATCACGGCACACTACCACAAGCACACAACGACAACAATATATTTACCTGTGTGCGTGTGTGTCTGTGTGTGTAGCATTTTTGCGTGGCAGGTGGTCACAGGGTAGCACCCACGGTGCATACCGCATACCTTTTGTGAGCAACCGGAGGGTAAAATTTAGATGAGGCAGGTGCCATTCCAACGGTGCATAACTTTGTGGGTAAAATTTGGAGGAGGAAGCTGCCACTCGAACGGTGCATACCTTTTGTGAGCCACCCGAAGGTGAAATTTAGAGGAGGAATGCGCCAATCCAACGATGCATACCTTTTGTGACCCAGCCGAGCTCCACATACCCGCCGTTGAGCCTGCAGATGTAATATTGCGTGTGTTCCAAAATGAGCCAATTTGTGTGTTCCAAAATGAGCCTCCTCCCGTTAAACTGGGATTGAAAAAGATGCAATGCCTTTGGGTCCACTCATATTTTTCTGAGAGGGTTTTGTAGTCTAGGGTCGAAACACCTCAGCAGGTACTTGGATATCTACGGATTCACCAATTGAAAAACCCTTCCACCACCCACCACCCACCACCGAGGGAAGGTAATTTCGGCAGCTTGGGCGTATCCCTGCACCTTTCCTTCGGTCGAGGCCAGCTGAAGAGTGACATCGGGAAGATCCTGGACCGCAACGACGCCCGTGTGGCGGAGGTGTCGCGGATTGGCTGGTCTGGGGCATCTGGGCACCCGTGCTGGTGGGGGTACAGTTCCGAGGTGTTTGTTCAGAAGGCCGGCACTTTTCACCCACTGAAAAGGCATGGAAACACAAGCTTGTCAGGAACTCATTTGGAGATTTAAAGGTCCTTGAAAGGCAAGACAATTTTTGACGTTTTGAGTGGTTTGAGGAGAAGAGACTTGACTCTACCACCCCGGAAAAGTTCATTAGAAATATCCAGAAACCGTATAGAAACTGGGCTATGGCCCGAAGTGAAAGGAGGATAATGTATATACCCTAATTAGGGCTCCAACTACCTCCTTGAGAAGATGCTTAAGGTGGGTTCTGGCAGGCTAACCACCTTCTGAGAATCTGGGACAGGAGGTTTAGGGATCCTTCAACAGTGGAAGTTCCAGGTAGTGTTGCCAGCCACTGGTGCAGGTCTGGATGGTCAGAGCCCCAGGATGTCCTCAGCAGAGAGAGGGGGGAATCAGTTCGGTGCTTTGACCGAAGGAGTCGGTTGGAAGTGCCTGGCGCTGGGCGTGTTCAACTGTACCAAACAAACCCATGGCCCATAGCCATGTCTTGATGCAACCCTCAAAAGAGACACATGCTGGCCGATCCACACCTTCCTTTGGTCGCTGAGGATGATTACAAGGAGCTGCGCCTTGGTTGGCATGGGGAGAGGCAGAAAGGAGTTGTCAATCGAGTCGAGGTGTTTTCGTCAGCTTTCCTGAGTCATGAGAAATTTGGGCATGTGTGAACAGCGCTCCACTGGGACCCTCAAAGATTTGAGATCATCGTGAGAGTGATGGCATGATACTCTTTCCTTTGAGCAACAGCAATGACCAAGGAAAAAGTATGTTAAAAGTCCAACAAAGATCACAAAGACGACAAATGTGACGAGGCGTCAATGCAGAATCGCAGCGGGACTTGGGATGTTCAGTGTGAGTCTCCCACTTGTCATCCTGCTTTGTTCGGTCGACCTGCTTCCTGCTTCGTGCGGCCGACCTGGTCAAAGGGGATTCCCAAAGGCTTCCATGAGCATGCTAGATCCAAACAAGACCCTTTGGATCTGCCCCCCGAGGCCCATGTTGAGGCCGGCGAACTGAACAATTTAGAACAACTCTCGAGATCTTTGATCACTTAGAACGTGAGTGACCCCTCCCCCCGTTTGACCCCAAACATGTTTTTTTTTGTCTTGCAATTTGTTCCCAATCAAACAGAGGTCCAATGAGAGTTGTAGGCAGTTATTTGGATCTTTTGGGTTTCCATTCCACTCTGACGTCTCAAAACGAAGCCACAAACTCCAACACACGAAGTGGCGTCAACCCACCGGCAAGCCGAAGTAACGGAACCGGGGGTGTTTTTCTTGTGCATCGTTTTGGTGAGAAGTTGGGAGAAGTTGTCTTCTCCTGAATCAACTTCTCCCAAGTTCCTCTTCACTGCATCCTTCTGGCTATGTTCAGATGGTCTAGTCTCCCACCACTCCCCCGACATCCACAGCTGAAGGGTCGGAAGCGCGGTTTGTCACCGGTTGGTCACCCAGGTTCTTCAAGTATCGGAAGCTCAAGAAGCAGGACCTGGGGCCGGGGCTGGAGAAGCGCGAGCAGCTGAAGGACAAGTTGCAATGCAAATCCTTCTCTTGGTTCCTCGTCCTCAATGGGTCTTCGAAAGGCATAGCTTGCAGAGCTTGCTCTTCAAAGGCCAAAAAGAATATATAGCCCCAGATACGCAGCGGTGTAGTCCGCGTCTCAGATTGTTTCATGTGCGTTTTAAGGCATGTTTTTTTGCTTTTTTGTTCTGTTAGTGGTAGTTCGGTATATCTAAGTGTCATACTCCTTTAGCAGCTGGAGAGTACCCATGATCCATCATGAGCGGCTAGTAGCCAAGGTTCTTAAAAGAAGTTTGTCCGGGCGCTCAGCCGAGGGTCTGTTCTTTGCATCAGACCGAATAACAGGGTCTGGTGACTACAGACTCTGTCAGCTTTCGGACAGTTTTAGCATACCATGAATCCAGCAGTTCTACACATCTCACATCTCAGCAGCTTTTTGAATACCACCAGTATGTGTTTAATGTATTTACTGTTTACTTTTGCAGCTCTACCATTTGCATATATACATACAACAAAATATACAAGAACTCTCAAGAGCTTGACAACCGAGTCGCTTTGCTAACTAGAGGAAGTGGCCCCCCAAGGTTCCTTGAACAGTTTGCATCTTGCACCACCTAAGGATGACTCAATATGCTTTTGTCATTGTTGTTCCAATGTTATATAATAATGCACCTTGTGGGGCATGATCTCCCATGACTGTGCACTGCAGGAGTTCTTCACCAGTCGGATCTCCCGCCCTACATTTG